CCGTGGGGGGGGCCGGCCCCAGCCAGGCCGGGCCGAATACACCCGCCCCCCACACCTCCGGTTAACCGCTCCCATGCTGCCGGTAAGGCGTATACTTACTGGTTAGCCGGTGAACCTTTCCACCTCTCGTCACACCCACCCTGTTGTGTTCTCCCTGTAGAAGGGAGCTAGTGCCTGAGCCACTGCAGGGCTCCCAGGAAGGGCTGGGACGCACGGGGCAGGCAGTGCCAGCTGGCCAGCGGCGGGGGGGGGGGGTACCTGGGCTGGTGCAGGAGAGGGGCTGCAATCAGAGGACAAGGGGTCGCTGTGGGGAGAAGGCCCTTCCAGCGCCCTACCCGAGCTCTCCCTTTCCTGTTCTCTGTCTCCTTCCCCCCTCCTGTTGAGCCACAGCGATACCTCAGCTGAAGCACAGGGATCCCCATCCCCATCCGCTCCACAGCCTCCCCTCCCCTTCTGGGCCTCAGGCCTGCAGGAGAGGGGCTGCAATCAGAGGACAAGGGGTCGCTGTGGGGAGAAGGCCCTTCCAGCGCCCTACCCGAGCTCTCCCTTTCCTGTTCTCTGTCTCCTTCCCCCCTCCTGTTGAGCCACAGCGATACCTCAGCTGAAGCACAGGGATCCCCATCCCCATCCGCTCCACAGCCTCCCCTCCCCTTCTGGGCCTCAGGCCTCACCTGCCCCACCCCGGGGGAAGGAGACACGGGACAAGCGAGCCCCCAGCCACACGCTGCTGCGCAGCAGCACAGCTGCCCACCGGAGGGTGCTCTCGCATCCAGAAAGCAGGCCGGGGGGGTCTGACCCCAGGCCCCAGGCATGGCAGCTCCAGGGCCAGGACTCCCCCCAGAACCCCTTGCAGTTCTGGAGTAAGGGGGGGCAGTAGGGGGCTCAGAGCACAGCACTGGTCAGTGCTGCATGGCACAGCCCATCCCTGGGGCGCCGGGGTCCAGTCAGGCTTGAGGCCGGCTCTCCCCTCTGCACTGCTCCTAGCAGCGTCACCGGAGAGCCCTGCTGGGACTCCTGCCAGCCCCACTGGGAAAGCAGGTGGCGTCGGCGCCAGGCTGCTCTCCCTTGGCGCACACAGGACGGGGGCTGAGCCGCACCCGCTGACGCCCGCCAGGTCCTGGGCTCTCCCGCCGCCACGGCTGGGCTGCAAACAGCGGGATTGCACCAACTGGAGCAGCCAGGCCGAGGCCTCCTGCTCCCCACAGGCAAAGGCTGCTGCTGCGTTCCTGGCAGAACGCTGGCTCGCCCCCGGGGCGCACACCCAGCAGGGTGGGCCCCGACTTCATGGCTGGGCAATGATGGGGGGCAGGGGAGGGGGGGGCCGCAGGGACTGGCCCCCCAGCCTTGGAGAGGGTGGGATGGGATGGCCATGGTGGGCCCCGGGGACGTACCTAAGGAGTGGGGTGGGGCATGGCCTTACCCGGCTCTGCCAGTGCTCCTGCCAGGGGGTTGGTATCCAGAAGCCTGCCTGGCTGACTCCACCTGGCCCTCCTGCCCCTGCCCCCCGACCCTGCTGCCTGGCCGGCTGAGCAGGCAGGGAGAGGGGGAGGGGGCCAGGGCCAGGGCCCACTCAGGCTCACCCATAGCAGGGAGCAGTGGGGTAGCCTAGAGGCTGCTTTGCACCAGCACCAAGCCTGCACAGCCCTGCTGGAAGCCCGGCGTGTGGGGCAGAGCCTGGAGCCTGGGCAGGAGCCGCCAGACAAGCTTCCGAGCGAGCCGGGCGCCAAGGGGGGGGAAGGGTCCTTCCTCCCACCTGTCAGCGACAGAGGCGAGTGCGCGACTGCAGAGCGGGGCTGCAGGGCCCTGGGCTCAGAGGTGGAAGGCTGTTGCTCTGCCCCGGCGGGCTGCAGGGAGCTGCCAGCGCCGTCCGCCAGGCGACTGAGTTACCCTTGGAACCGCAGCTCGAGTAGGGACGAGACCTGCGGCCCACAGAGCCCAGCACAGGCTGGCCTGGTAACTGAACAGGGAGCCCCCCTTATCCCAGCCTTGGGCACCCCACATAGCCCTGCCAGTGCCCCTCAGCCCCAGCGTGCAGCCCCCTGCTGTCCCAGCCCTGGGCTCCCCCCACGGGTCTCGTCCGTCCCCAGCGCTAGTCTGTGTGTGGGCACACGCGAAGGTTTGCAGGGACAGACTCACTAGCAGTGAGGTCATAAGATACCGTGACATCACCCTCGTTTCTATGGCAACAGAGGGGTGGTACCCGCCTTGCGCTCGGGCAGGATGGGAGCCCTGGGAGGAGAATGTCGACCCCGCGACAAGCCCGCAGGGCACCAGAAAGGCCCAACATGGGATGCTCCGACACACCAGCCTCTCCCCCGTCCCCGCCTGGCTCTAATTAAGGGGCAGACCCCCCCCCCACGTGTACTCATTCCATATGGAGGTCATGCGGGCCTGGTGCCAGCTGCACCCCCAGGCCTGGCGGGGGAGAGGGGAGGAATGGGCAGTTCCTGGGGCATGTGACAGATCCCGGTCTCTGTACAGGGCCCTGCTGCTTTCCAGCGCTGGGGCCACGGGCAGGGCTGTGCCCATCCCGGCAGCGCTGGGCAGGTCCTGGGTGTGGGCCACCTCCCCCAGTCACGGACGCTGAGCGCCAGGGAGGGACCATGGAACACCTGCCGGGGAGGAAGCTGTCGAGCAGAGGGGATTGGACGGGGCGGCCAGAGCGCCGGTACGGTCGCCCTGCTCCAGGCCAGGCCTCACTGCTCTGCCGGGGGAGGCGGCTCCTGCCCGGAGCAAGGAGAGGGGATCCCCGCCGCACTGGTGCATTGAAGCCTGAGGGGGAGGGGATGGGTCCCAGGAGGCCAGGGCTGGACATGGGGGCAGACTTTCGTTTGGCTGCCCAGAGGGGACCCCGAAACCAGCTCAATCTGGAGGGGAGGCATGGCGGGGGGCCAC